GAGTTATGATCTCGACTGTAACTTTATATATTTTATAACAGTACCGATTATTATAAAATATATAAAAAATATATAATTATTAGTTGACCGAATAGACAATGCATGCGAAAAATTAACAGCATTTCTTTTCCACTGTACAGACAAGTTATTCCTGAACACATTGATAATCATCTTGCAACTTAAGTTTATTAAAACAAGTCCTGAATCAAATATTTCATATTTTAGATAAAAAAGTGATAATCGGATGCTCGCCATATTTTTTACGCTCTCTTCATTGGTATTCAGAAGTTTCCGCACTCATACCTTTTGGCTTCCTTGGGAAGCTGCTTTGCGATGTCTCCGCCGACGAACACAGCTTCGAGATAAACCCACAGATTCTGAACGAACAACCACCGTTCCAGAATTTCATTGGTGTTGGACAGATCGCTCACCCACTTCTGGATCTGCTTTCGGAACGGAGCGTTGTACCTGCGGACGGAGAGATTCATTGTGGCGTTCGAATGAAGAAAACAAATGAAGAAAAAAAAAAAAGAAAATAAAAAAGAAAACAAAATAACCCCTGCAATCGTCACGTCCCAAAACAGATGAGAAAGGGAGGAGGCACCTGTTGGACAAGAGCGACCCCAGCACCATGAGCGAGTCCTCGAGCTGCGTTATGACCTCGGCGGTCGTGTCGCCTCGGAGCAGCAGTTCGCCGCGGTTCTTGAAGGTGGAGAAGGTCAGGTCGTGGCTCGCCCACTCGTTCGTCACGATCCGCAGCTTGGCCTCGATGTCCTTCTCCTTCACGGCCGAGATGCAGATGTCCTGGAAAGGGAAGGTCGGATTTTCATTTTTCAAGTGCACTTTACCTTTTACAAAGGGAAACGTTGGAAGGCAGCGCGCACGTGTGAGTGAATATGTGTTGCTTCTAACCAACATTGTTCAAGGCGTCCACTGAGCTAGCTTTTCCTTACCTCTATATCTTCCTTGAACTGCAGGAGTGGCGAGTCCATGATGTTCCTGAGGCAAAAGTTCTCGCTGTCCACGTCGAGGGCTTGTTGATGACCTCCGCGATGCGCTGCCAGTGGCGGGGCTTCATGGCCTTATTGGACATGAGTTCCAGGAGCGGACACATGTCGTTGAAGTCGTCGATCGTCTTCTTGAGGGCGTTGAAGGCCGGCCATTCCTTTAGGCCTTTAGGCAGTTTGCGACATCTGGAATCGTGGAGTTACTTTCTGAGAAGAATTTTTTTTAAAGTAGCTGATTGATTATCATACATCAGCCCTCGTGCTGTTTCAGCATGTGATAAACGATGTACTCGTTTTATTTTTGTCTAGCAACTCACTTTGGATTTAATATGTTATTAAAAGGTCAACACTTTAGACGAAAATAAGCTACATGCCTTTTGCTTGAAGAAAATGAATAAAGCATGCGGCACTCAGTCGGCACAGCCCAAAGGCCCAGCCTCACCTGTTTTGGAATTCCATCAACTCGTTGTTAATCTCCTCGATGTTGACTTCACTCCACGGAATTTCATAGTAGGACGAGACGCGGTCAATAACATCATTATACAATTTGTAAAGCTTCTGGAGCAGGTTAAGCTCCTTGCGAATCTGGCCCAGCTCGGGGAACTCGGATCGCGGGAGGCGGAACAGCTCCTCGCCCACCGAGTAGCTCGAGTGCTTTCGCCACAGAGTATCGAAGCGATTCTGTTGGAGTAATCATTAGTCTGTATAATGATAATGGCTTATGGGTCCAAGGGAATTGATAGCACTCCTTTGATGAAACCACTTCATCCTAATTGCTCACATTAGTAAGGCAATGAACCTGCTGCATAAAGTCTATGGTATCCATTTCCGAGTTTCATTTAGTTATCGAGTTCAGGAGCTTGCCAATTGCTATAAAGATAACAAGACGTCAGACAATCTTATTCAGTTTCTTAAAGCCAATAAAGAATTCAGAGAACTAAAAACTGAGATTCGTAGTAAACACTGGGAACAATTTTTGCAAAGCATCAATAGTCAAACTTCCATGGCTGATGTATGGAGAAAGATTAATAGGCTGACAGGTAAAGCTCCCACAACACCGCAGTTTCACAGCCCACAAGAACAGGCTAATATGCTACTGGAGCAGTGGGCTGAAAACTCTCAGCTGAGCTCACTTCCACAAGGGATAAAAGACCATCTCGACAAGTCAAAAATAGATAGGAAATTCAATATAGCAGTAGCCTGTGCTGCTATTGACCCATCCGACTTTGCCGAAATAACCGAGTGGGAACTGAGAAATGCCCTTGTGAAAGGCAAGGCAACAGCCCCTGGCGAGGATGGCATTACTTACAGTGTTCTTCGCCTCATTGCGCAGGTGCCAGGCAACCCACTCTTACACCTGTATAGACTCAGCCTATCACAAGGAATCCTCCCAAGCTCCTGGACTAAAAGTTTAATCATCCCTATACCCAAATCCAACACTGACAAATACAGACCAATTTCCTTGACCTCCTGTCTGTGCAAAGTACTTGAGAGAATAATTCTGAACAGACTCATGTACCGTATACATGCTAAGTTATCCCCCAGACTGTATGGATTTCTCCCAGGACGTAGCAGTCAGCATTGTTTTGCAGAATACTTAACAAACTCAATACCAGGCATGCAAACCGTATTTCTTGATCTTCAATCTGCCTTTGATATTGCAAACAGAGAAATGATCCTTGAGCAACTAGCTAGCTTTGGTATTCAGGGAAAACTGTTAACATGGATTCAAATGTATCTATCCAATCGATCGGCTCAGGTTTTCTTCAGGGGTGTTAAGAGTACTCATGCAAAAGTGTTTGAACTCGGCACACCTCAGGGAGGCGTACTTAGTCCCATGCTATTTAACATCCTAATGCATAGATTACTAGGCGATATACCACTTGAGGGCAGTGACTCCATTATTTGCTATGCCGATGATATTTGCATTAAATCCTCATCCGAGGAGAGAATGCAACAGATCCTTGATGTGCTTTCAGCAAGGGCTACAGAGTGTGGCTTGATAATATCGACTGAAAAAACCAAGGCACTTAACCCTAAAACAATCCCTCTGCCAAGGTTTCACATCAATGACGTTGAGCTAGATCTCTGTCACCAATACAAATATCTCGGGGTGGCTGTTAATGATGCAGAGTTCATACAAAACCTGAAGAAAAGGCTGTGGGAACGTCTGAAGCCACTTAGGACACTTGTCGGCAAAGACCATGGTATTAATGTCAATATTGCTAGACTCTTTTACCTGTCATACATACGGTCGGTCATAGATTATCATGCATTGCACCTAGTATTATACAAGGAATCAGAGTTGGCTAGTTTAGAAATTGTACAAAATGAGGCCATGAGGCTTATTCTCGGCCCCTAAGACAACGAGGATTGTGAATATGAGATCAGAACTTAATTTGCCGTCTGTCTATGAAAGAATATTATACATAAACACCACATTTAGCGTCAAAGCAATAAGAGAACCCCTCTATTGTACAGAGTTCCAAAGACAACTAAAACATAGAATAGTGGAGCTAACTTTGAATGGCAACATCGATTCAAATTCAAATCCATGGCAACAAGTAACATGTAAGCACTTGTCTCAGCTGAACATATCCATAACTAAGACCCTACATGGACGTTCTGCTCCACCGTGGAAAATGTCGGACCTAAGTGTATTTTATACGACTGCCCCAAAAAAGACAGTGTCCCCCTGCTGTACTTAAGCAGTATGCTTTAGCAATTATCAATGAGCACCTTGAAACTATGCCCAATGCGTATGAATGCTACACTGATGGATCCTTGCAGTCTGGGAGTCGTATATAAAAACAATATTTTGCAGCACCAGGATTGTAGGCGGGTTCATGACTGGGCTAGCACTACGCAAACTGAGTTGGCAGGAATGCTCATAGCCACCGAATTTCTATTAAGTCAAGGCTCAGGAGTCATTTTCTGCGACTCACAGAGTGCTCTCCAGGCATTGAACACACTAGACAAAGGTGCAGGAAATATTGCAAATGACATAAGGATAAATGTGTATCGTGCAAAAGAACGAGGCCATGATATACGTTTTGTGTGGATACCATCGCATGTTGGAATCCCCAGGCATGATCATGCTGACCGCCTAGCAAAATCAGCATGTGACAAGCAAAGTGTTGATATAGATCTTGGAGTACCTCTTGCTAGGATTTCACACATAATTAAAACTTCCTTCAAAGAGGACTTGTCTGACTTGATTAATTCTCAACGGCCTGAAAGCTGTAGCATAAAGCACTATGACAGGTTTATGCAAGATGTTTTCATCTATGGTTTATACAAAACAAGAACAAGACAGTGTGATATTGTGACCGCAAGAATCAGGCTGGGATATAGATTGTACTGGCAGGTCAGTACAGCCTGTAATGTTGAAGAAACGAAGTGTAAATTATGCAATGAAGAATATAAGCGAACACTTGTACATTATATCTCAGAGTGCCATGTAATACAGCCTTTCAGACCACCTAGCATGAGGTATGGAGAACTATGTAACTACTTCATATCATCTGATGTCTTGGAAGATATAATTATGTTATATCCTAAATTTGGAATGTAGTATCACATGACCACATATCAAATGTTACATTGCCTTTCCACGCCCAAGCCGTATGCCGGCTTGACAGATGAGTAGATAAATTACTGATCGTTCTTTTCCTTTAAATGATATATTTTAGACCGTAATAATTTTATGATATAGATTTATTCTGTAATACTATTATATAATGCTTTGACCATGTATCAAATGTACTACAGCTTGCCCACGCCTGTGCAGTTAGCCAGGGTGGTAAATAAAGGACTAAACTAAACTAAAATTATTTTGCATCAGCAAGAGTACATTTATCTACATTCTTGCACCTGTACCAAATTAGAGATTGTATAATGGGAGAATTAGGATTATATCAAATAATTCGTTTGTGGGACTTTATTCACAGATGTTATCCACCTTTTAACTGAAAACATTTTAGATCCTGAATTATTGACGAAATTTTGAAGATAACATGACGGGTTAGCATGCACTCCAAATTGGCGTTGGACAAAAAATAGAACTTCGGTTGTTGCTGGAAAAATTACCTGTGCTACTATGAGCCTGTCTGACGCGTCCTCTGGCGCCAGGCCAGGCACCATGGACCCTGCGTCCGATAGTCATGCACGAACTTGTTGCAGTCTTTCTTGAACTGCGCCACGTTGTGGATGAGCTCATTTCTTCGAGGGAAGGTGAATTACATATTGTAATGAGACACTTGTAGTGCAGTAACTGTGAGCCTACATTTCTACAAAACTTATTCCCATTGGTAATATACTTTTATGAATTGTATTTTCATTTCTTCTTGGCATGCTTTATACACTGAATGTTGACTCTGACTCTGAGACATAATCAATGATAGCACTCTTATTAGTTTTTTTTATATTTGACCAGACAAGGTAACTGATGACTAACCTGAAGTATGGCTGTACGCGAGAAAGCAGATTCTGCACCTCTACAGCCTGAGCAAGGACCTTCTGCCAAGTGAAACGCAGGTTGTCCACTTTCTCAGCTTCTTCTTGAGACAGTCCCAGTTCGTATTTGACAAGTAACCCAAAAGATTCCTAGAAATAAAGGTAACCTGTTCATCAGCCTCTTCCTCTGTCGATCTATAAATCATTTTTTCCCATCTATATCATGCTTTCTCGATCTATCTATGCATCGCTCTCTTTCACTGTCGATCTATACGTTCCTCTTTCTCTTACCTCTCTCTCTCCCTCTCCACACTCCATGTGCATGTGCAGTTATAGGCAAACGTATGGAACACATTACCTCTATAGGTTCTATAGCATCGTCCATGTCAAGTTCGAGGTCACGTGTCTTGCGCAGGATGTCAATCGCACCCTTAATGTCGTCCAGGTCTTTAAGCGGCCGCTCCAGTCGCCGGGAAAGTTCGTTCAGCTGAGCGAAAAGTCTTTCCATTTCCTTCATGTAATTGACCTTCAGCGCCTCACCGAACTTATCCACCCATAGGGACGCTTCCTCTGCTAGAGCCTTCTTCAGGTTCTCTGTGAAAAGCAGTTGCCATAGAGTGGTTCAGGTATGCAAGAGAAATAATTATTTGCAGGCTATAGAAGCAATATAAAATAAACTAAAAGTATATCTGTGGTTAGTTTATCGCTCTGTAGCATTATGACAAGAAACTTTCATCACAAAAGGAAGAATCATGGCGATTTTCTGGAAAAGGATTTTACTCCTTCCCCTAACCTGTATTGAGGGCAAGAGCCCCAACCCGATAATGGCATTCTTCTGCATTGATTTGCTTTTCTAATACGATATAACTCTTCATTGTCTTATCGTAGTCTTGGACAGATGGTGCGAGCGAAATGAACTCTTTAATTGCAGCGTCTTTGTCGACTCTCCATAGATGATGATATTGTTCCCAATATTGAAAGTGTTATGAACCTCCTATTTGGCAGGATGAAAATGAAATACAAAGGTGAATATTCGCATATACATGGCAAAGTAAATATGAAATTATATATATCTTATTTTTACAATACTTTTCTTTGTAAAAACAATATTGTATAATTTTGTTTTTACGTTTAACGAATTCTTATCTAAAAAGGGTGCTGTCATTGTCAAGAAGCTAAAACTTACATTTCTAGTTGACTGGAAAGAGTTGGACATGTGGCTCATGACTTTCGACACGTCTTTACTTTCCAGGACATGTGTGTAATAGTTTTTGGGCATTGCTGGTACCTCGTACACAATGACTTTCTTTCGTGACTTTCGACCACCAATGGAATCTCTGTCTCCAACTTGGGGCTGAGCGGCCTGCAAGAATATAAGGCGACTATCAGTTGCTATGATGACCTGACAGAAAGTCTGATAAAGTTACAGTATCGCAGTTACTTGCATTTTTTTTTTTGTATAGATATTATTATTATATACAGTGTACCATTTGGTTTATGTAACATTTTATTTGTAAGCCCTGCATCTTACTTTACGATACCTTTGCTGTGGTCGTAACTAAGGCTTCACTTACGTCTTCCTTGCGGCAACGAATCCACTGCGAGACACCCTTGGCGTGGAGAGGATGATTTTAGCCACTTTGTTGATGGCCTCCTGCACTTGGTCGAGGCTGGGGCTCACTTGCACGCCGGGGGACACCAAGGATACGCTGAGCTCTACCAACGCAATGCCCAGGTCCTCCGGTCTGTCATTGGACCTTCTAATGCTAGCTTCGTTCACTAAAAATACATGCGCATTAAGAATTTAAATCAAACACTTGTGATAAGATGTATCTCCCCTACATTCAGTGTATTTCATTTTGTATATAAAACATATCGTATCATCTATCATTTGCGTTCTAAATCTTGAATACTTTCAAAGATTTGCAAAAAAGTACAGCAGTTTTGCAAAATACATGAATGATTCAAGAGCGTAATTATCCATAGCTTTCAAATACTGTTTGCATTATCTATTCATTAATGAAAAGGCTGCCGCCAC